GACATGTCAAGTCTCACATTAATAATCAGCTTTCCCATACAGTGAGTAAGAAACGTCTGTGAACCTGGCCTCTTTTTCCTTTCTTTGGGATGACTACCTGTTCCAGATATGGTTCCATACACCAGTCAGCTGTCGCCTGGCCTGACCATATCACCAATGTTGTTTACCCTTTTTCCCTTTTCCCGTCAGTTACTGACACCACTAACCCAAGTCCATTGTAGCCCACAGCCCCTCTCTGCAAGCGAGTCTTCTTTCAGATGATCGGTTGGTTGTGGCGCCCTTGGATCCACGCTTCGGTCTCATGCCGCTCCTCTCCACCATGGGGTACTCCCTCACTGTCCTTTGACCTCATATCTCTTCAGATGTTCCAATTCATTCTTCTTTTTTCCTTCATCTTCGTTTTTAAGCAGTTTATTTTAGAATACTCTTGGGTTTAAAGAAGAATTATGAGGATAGTACAGTTCCTATAAACCCTGCATCTAGTTTTCCTTTGTATTAACATGGTACATTAATATGGTACATTTGTCACAACTGATGAGCAGTAGTGATGCATTGCCGCTATTATTATTATTTTGTAATGCCTTCAGGATCCTCCCCTTAGCTCCGTGTAGGCAGCATGATTCAGAGAAAAGAGAATGGGTTTCACGGTGCAAAGATCTTGGTCTGAGCCCCGTATCTACCTCCTCCTAGTTATATGGATGTCTTCCATGTGACAACCTCATGGAGCCTCAGTTTCCCATCTGCAAAAATCCTCTTGTGAGAAAGGACGCCAGGAAATAAATCTTTATTTTCATCTCTATATAAACTGCCTTGACAATCCTAAATAACTGGTACAGTAATAAAACTGGACATTTTACCTATGTCTGTGAAATCAATAAAAAATCACAACCAGCTTCCTATGTCTTCAACATCCTCCTAGACTGTGAGGAATTCAACTAGGGGCCTTAAGGAAACTAAATGTTCACCTAATAGTAGTTCAGATTCTTGTTATTCATTTAGTGACATATTTCTCCTTGGAAGGAAAAACTAGGTGATATTTTTTTTCTTTTTAGGCCCAGTCTTAGACACTGACTGTATATTGTAAATCACCCCTTAAATAAACAAAATGTAAAATTCTCTAAGGCACAGGTTGGCAACTGTTTACTGTAAAGGCCAGATAGTAAATATTTCAGGCTTTACAGACCATATGGTCCCTGTCACAGCTACTCAACTCTACTGTTTTAGCACGCTAATACTCAAATGGATGAGAATGTGGCAATGAAACTTTATTTATACAAATAGGAAGTAAGCTACCTTTAACCTGTAGACCATCTCTTGCCAGTTCCTGCTTAAGGCATGAATGAATGAAAACGACAGTGACGATAAATGATTTGGAAAATAACGAGTTAGGAGTGAGGGACAGGGTTCAGATGATTCTCATATGATGATTCTGGAATTATTAAGACTTTTTGGTTCATAATGAATGATACTACTTTTTTAAAATTGATTGTGGGAGTAAGCTGTATGTGTTCTCCTGAAAGAAAAATTACTCAGCTCAATGTGTTTGACTCAGGAATGAACTGGCCTTTGAAAGTAGATTTAGATTCTATAGGTTGACTGTCAGTGAACCCATCCTGGCTTCTAGCTCCCGTAGAGGAGGAAGGATCACTTATAGGAATCAGAAAGCCTGAGGCAATGGAGGAAAATATAACAATAACTGCCACTTATTGAGCTGCCTTCCCCATCACAAATGATGACCACTATTATCCCATTTTACAGAACAAATGAGAGACAATAAGCGTCATGATCATACAGTGAGGGTTTAAGCCAGCTGCATTGTTCTCCTCCGTGGCCACAACACTTCCCTCCACAAAAGTTACTGGCTTTCTCTGGAACACTTATATTTCTTCATATTTAGAACTAGACAAGGCAGGAGGGTGGGAATCACTTCTTATTCCTTCTAGCTTTACTTTCTGGTAACTGTTATGTTTAAACACAAACAATAAATGTCTCCTGAGTGCGCTAAGTGTAAAGCTTTCATTATGTTGTAAAAATCTATTTTCTTTCCATTTCCAGAACTGCAGAGACAAGGACATGGAGGCTCAAACAATTAAGGAATTTGCCCAAAGGGGCACCTGTGGTTAATTGTGGAGTCAGAATCTGAACATAGTTCTCACCAACTCCAAAGCAGTTTGTACACATACAACTGCCATACAGCCTAGTGGTTAAACCCCCAGGCTCTCTAGCCAGACCAATTGGGTTCAGATCTCAGCCCCGCTACTTACCACATCACCTTGGACAAATTGTTTAATGCCCCTGTGTATTAGTTTCTTGATTTGTCAAATTAGGATGATGATTGTAATTTTCTTCTCATAGTTTGATATAAGGAATAAAGCAGTAACATGCATGTAATAAACAACACAAGCTTTGGCTTTTTCCATAGACTGCAAGCTCCAAGAGCACAGGAGTCTGTTTTGTTCACTGTTGTATTCCTAGCACTTAGAATAATGTCTAGCACATGGTAAGTGATATGGTTGCATAAATGAAAAGTGTTCAAACAAACTAGGCTTTAGATTAGGTTGTGACTGCATTCAAAGCCAAAATGAATAAACATGGCTCTTCTTTTTCTTTACTTTTTTTTAATGCCATGAATTTGATAGGTGAATTTTAATGAGACTTAGGGCACCTGGGTGGCTCAGTCAGTTAAGCATCCAACTCTCAATTTCAGCTGGAGTCATGGTCCTGCCTTCATGAGTTTGAGCCCCGCATTGGGCTCTGTGCTGACAGTGTGGACTCTGCTTGGGATTCTCTCTCTCTCTCTCTCTCTCTCTCTCTCTCTCTGACCCTCCCCCACTCACATGCACAGCGTGCTCTCTCTCTCTCTCTCTGTCAAAAAAAATAAACCTTACAAAATTAATATGAGTCTTTGAAATCATAATTTCAACTGTAATAATGGAAATAGTGATTGTCTTACTTATTTCAATGTTCCTAACAGAAGTAGATCTTAGTGCACAGTTGAGGCTCACAGCACACAGCACATGGTTTCAGAGACACTCACCTACTTCATTGCTACTCCTAAAGGACCATTTTTATGTAATGCATTTTAAAGTTCCTTTTATCGTTTTGTTTTGTTTTTTTTTTTAATAAAATCTAAGCCTGTCGTTATCACATGGATTTTATCTCTGAAAATTTATTTTTACCAAGCTTGTATGGTATTTAATACTGTGTATTCTAAATCCAAGCCAGTATTTGATGACAACAGCTGCCAGGAGCCCCTGTAATGAATGAATTATGGTTCCACTTAGCTGGTGAGATAGCCTTTGATGTCTACACTTCAGTGGTGATGGGGGCTCCAGGGAGCAACAGTTCCTCCAGAGAAAAAGGCAGCCTCAGCATCACCCCCCACCCTGTTTGAAAAGGCACAAAGAGGAGCATACACAGGAAATACAGCTCTGGCAGGATTTATGTGCAGGATTCCCACAGACTAAACTCTGTATATTCCCAAGAACACCACCTTGACACTGTTGCACCTTGGCAGCAAACCGTTTTTAAGACTTTATTGGATTTGTGGTAATATTCATCCTGAGTGGTGATTAACTGATACCCCTAACACATAGCAAAGCACTGGAGTTCTAATCTTTCTCCCTGGCTTGCACTGTGTAAATTATTATTTTCATTAAGATTAAGTATCTCAGAAGATTACACTGCAGTTAATTTATGCAACCACTTCCTTAGAATGCTGTTTTTGACAATATGCCTACCAAAGAATCCTTTAAGACCTCAGTAATTGGAGGGGCCCAACTGAAGCATTGGTTTTGTTCATTTTAATGTAGAATCCTCTGCATGTTTTCTATAAAGCAAAGTAAGTTTTTCTCTTAAAGATTCTTCAGCTTGCAAACAAAAACTAATTGCAGAGTTATTAGCCTGATTTGTATTTTTCTTCAAGTCATGAATAATTAAATATCTAATACATTTTGGAAAAGTTTGTAAATGAAAGATCTGCTCCAGTTTAAAATATCTATACACTTGATTATCTTGTATTATCTTGTAAACTAAACTATAAATTAAACTATAAGCTAAAAAGTTTAAAAATGCCTTCACCTTCATGTTTTTCAGGACCCCATTGTGAAATTTAGTTTTGAGGTTAACACTATAAAATAATAATTTGGTCTAAAATGACAGCAATAAAGACTAATAAGATTTATCCTGAGATAACTTATAAAGTGTGATAAGACTCAAAATATGGTAAAAATGCCCTGATACTTAACCTTCTATTGAAATAACAGCTGAGATTTGTTATGCATGAGAAATTATGGGCATAGCATCATACATGTGTTATTTTATTTCATCCTCAGGTAACATTGTTATCCTCATGTACTGATGAAGAAACAGAGAAGGAAATAGGGATTTGTAAAGGCCAAGTAATTTGCCAGAAATTTCCAGGATAAGAAAGTAGCAGAGCCAAGATTCAAATCTAGATAATTTGCTTCTGGAGCCTGAATTCCTGCCCATGACATAAGCCTAAATCATTTAATGAGATTGGCAATAAACACATGTTTCAGTTGAATGTGAAAATGTTTACATATGCAACCTATAAATATAATCTTATAATATTATAGGTAATATAACAAATATAACAAACCCAAAAAAATTGCCTATCCCCCTAAAAGAGCAATTCTGACTTTTTAGAGGGCAGCATTTCAGGGAATGGTAACTTCACAACACTGTGTAAGCTCTGTTATGTTTTTGCATCCCAGATTACTATTGCTACATTTTATTTGAATTCATTAACTAACAAACAAAAATTCCTGTAATTATCATTATTCCTTTTCTTAATCTAGACATGACAAAGAAGTTCAGAAAATCAACTAATGTCAAATAGTAACTTGGTAGCAGAAATGAAATTCATACCCAAGTCTTGATTTCAAGTTTAATTAATTATTTTAGCCTTAAGCCATAAGATGACAGAGTCAGAACAAAAATGGTTTGTGAAATCATCTCAACGCTTCTTCTTCCCACAGGTCGTTACCCTCAGGAGAACAAGGGAACCTACATCCCAGTTCCTGTAGTCTCAGAGCTTCAGAAAGGCAAGTGGGGGGCCAAAGTTCTCATGAGAGAGGACAGGTCTGTCCGGCTGTCCATCCAATCTTCTCCGGAGTGCATTGTGGGGAAATTCCGCATGTATGTTGCTGTCTGGACCCCCTACGGCATTCTTCGCACCACCCGAAACCCAGAAACAGACACGTACATTCTCTTCAATCCTTGGTGTGAAGGTAAGGGACAAGCACTTTTCTCATAAAAAAAAAAAAATAGCTCATATTTTTCTAATGCATCTCTTTTTGAAAGGATAGCAGAATTATTCTACAAGATATGTCCCTTTGCTACACACACTGTTTCGCATGGTTGAAAGACAGGAACAACCATGAAGTTAGTCCTTAATGTATATGAGGGCAAAACCTGTGTATATGAAGTTAATGCTGCTACACATTTATTCCAGGAAATAATTGAGGAATGCTTGAAGTTGCACAGTTAGTTAAATTGTGGAGCAATGTGTTGATGGTGTTACTTCTGTGTGTATGCTATTACTCTGTAAACAAAATGAGCTTATTAAACTTGACTTTCAAAACTATTAGTATCTATATAATCTGGCTTCAGAAAAAATAGGATAAAGTTGATCCTGCCTATGGTAAAACTAACTTCTCTCTCTTCCTAATTCAAGAACAAAAAGCCTGAATGTTAAAAGAATCCCATAAATTTGTATATATGCAGAGTGGGTGCAAATTTCATAAGCCATAACGATGGATGTACAAACATGTAACTTTAATATAATACAACTTAATCTCTACTGCTATTTGGAGTCTTCTTTTTTGTCTGTTACAGAAGCTTAATCCATTTATATTCAAATAAAATAAGTCAAGTCCAAGTATTTCTCCCAATTCCATTTAAAAACTTAGTCACACACAGTATTTTCCCCCCATCACCATCTCCGCCCTTCTATATCTGCCCCTTGCTTTATACTTGGTATGGAGCTGATTTTCAGTTCCATAGGCAAAAGCAAACACTGCAACAGCATTAATGGGAGAGAGTACATTAATGGGAGAGAGCACACTTTTAAATCTTAAGAAATAAGGTAATGAAACTTATAAGAGCTCATACAGGACAGAAGATGTTTCACATCATCTTACTTCATGTGTATTGCTCTTCAGTGTTTTCCCAAATGAGTCTATATTTTTTGCTGATTTTGAATTACTATTGTTTGTGAGAGTTGCATTTGAATCAGTGTTAAGCTGCATTTACAAGTAGATAAGTGAACAACAATGCTGTCTACTCATATATAACATAAATCTGGATCCTACTGCCCTTTTCTTTGGCTTCTCAGTTCTAGTAGTGTTGGCAGATGGCATTGAGCTAATCCTATACTCCCCACTCACCACCTTCATCATCTTGTCCCTCCCTGATAATCCTATCTGAGACAGATGCCCAAGGTTGACGGTAATAGGAGATGTTAATGGGGCCATGTGCTATTCAAAAATGCACTCCTGTTTACAGTAATCTAGTCAAGCAGATATAAAACATTCTATGATGGAGGGGACATGGTGCCATTTACAGAGATGAGGGGAGTGGAGACATAGAACAAACTAAGATTTTGAAAATGTTGAGTTGGACATAACTGTAAATACCCAAACAGAAATGACAAGCATTCTGATATGTGAATCTGGAAATGAGAATCAGAGACGTAAATCTGGGAGATGTAAATCTGAACATAGGGAGAAAATACAGGGAGGAAAGGAGATATAACATCAAGCCCTAAAGAACACAAGCATTTGGGGGTTCTCATAGCGAAGGAATTAGCAAAGGAGACTGAAATGGAGGAGTACATGTGAGATGGCCAATTGTAAAATAAATGTATTTAAAAAATTTATATTTACAAAACAAATAAACTAAGAATTTGATATTGACTTTCTTTGCATTACAAAAAGAAAATCATATAACTTCATGTCACTATCCAGCACCCTAAGGAGTTTATAAAATGCTATGATTTACCCCAAATTTGTGTGTTTGTAGCTTTCCTGGATTATAGCACCTGTGTATCAGGGGGTATGTATCTACATGCATTTCAACTTATGCTGCCAGTTTTCCAGAGATAAAAACAGTTAGTCATGACATATGGAGTTTATAGGACAATCATTGAGGAGTCTCAACAACTTTCTACTACCTGATCACTGCCTTGGTCTTCAGTTGTATCCTTGGTGAGCAGCTTCCAGGTTTCCCTGTTCAGAAGGTGTCACCTAGTCCAGAGATAATATGGTCCCAGCACTTGATGCTTCATTACAGAAAAGGAAGGGACTTTCCCTAGGTATCACTGATTGGAAGAAGGTGAGAATAAAACTAGACAGATTAGTTTGGAAGCTGTGGCCCAGGACAAAGATGATGATGGATGGACTGGACTATGGTGGTGGCAGTGGAGATGAGGAGGAAGAGATGGGTTGGAGATCTACTTTAGATTTAGAACAGAAATTATTGAAGGGTTGATCATGAGAGGTTACAAAAAGGGAGAAGTCAAGAATAACTCTAGGTGGCTGGTATCTGACCAGCTAGATTGGCGGTGGTGACATTTTCAGAGCCGGGAAGACTGAGGGAAGTGGAGAGGAAGATCTAGGGGTGAAACTAAGAATTACATTTAGAAATGTTAATTTGGTTATATCTGTGGAATATCCAAGTGAAAACATCAAGTAGGCACTTGAATAAGTGAATCTAGAGTTCCAAGGAAATGGGTGAGCTCGGTGTGTAAATATGGGCACCATCAAGAGCTAGCAGGGAAATTTAAAGAAAGAACAAACATGGATTTAGTATCATCCACAATTAGAGCCTAGACAAAGGAGAAGGAAACTGAGAAGGAGTAGCCAGTGGGGTTAAAGGGCATCAGAAGAGCATGGTGTCACAGACCCAGATAATTGATTAATTTGAGAAGATAGCAATTGCTTCTTTGGAATACTGCTGATGATTCAAATAAAATAAGGACAGAAAGTTTCCATATATTGTGGAAATATGGGGAACTTGGAAAGATTGCTTTACCACAGTGATGGGGACAGAAGCCACAGAGATGGACACTGACTAAAGTGCAATGGGAGGTGACAAAGTGGAGACAAAGTTGCCATGTTATGCAAGAAGACTTCCTGCAAAACAGAGGTTGTGATATGAAGGCCAATGAAGAATTTTTTAAGGATGGGATAGAGTAGGCATAACTTTCTGGAGATAGAGACAAACCAGCAAAAAATGAGTTTACTTCCCAGAGAGAGGATAGTGGTCCACAAACTTGGCTGCATATTGGAATCATCTGGAGATGTCTCAGACTTCCTGGTTGGTCTACATGTAACATGGGCTTTAGGGTTCTTAAAAAGGTCTGCAGGTGATTTTAATTTTTTTTTAGTTTATTTTCTTATTTTGAGAAAGAATGAGATGAACATGAAGGGGAGAGGGGCAGAGAGGGGAAGGAGGGAGAGAATTCCAAGAAGGCACGCTCCTGTCAGCACAGAGCCTAATGTGGGGCTTGATCTGACAAATTATGAAATCATCACCTGGGCCGAAATTAAGAGTCAGACACTTAATGGACTGAGCCACCCAGGCACCCCTGCACCCCCGCAGGTGATTTTTAAAGCCAAGTTTGAGAAGCACTGACTTAAGGAATGAAATCCTTGAATGGGTGGGAGCCAGGGAACAGGTGAACAGCCCTCGATAGGTGGAGCTGTCTGCCCTCCACTGTGATAAGAACGATGTGGAATATGGGTGAAGTGTGCAGCTTTTCTAGATTCAGTGGAAGGAGGATGAGGTTGTTCCCATTTTGTGAGTCTCTTTTTCCCAGTGATGTGAAAAGCAAAGTCATCTGCTGAGAACCAGAATCAAGGAGGGGAATATTGGAGGCTTGATAGAAAAGGCCTGAGAGTTTGGAGGTGGGAAGTGGGCTTATTCCAGGGACAAGACAGGTGGATCCTCCCTGCTCCCCAGAACACAGAGAAAACCACCACAGTTGCCCTAGTTCCTTGGCCTGTGAATATCCAAACATGTCTGCAAATTACTTGGGGGTATCCTCATGGGCATCTCCACCTCCCAGAATCCAGTTTCTCCCAGGGCCAACAGCTGTGCTGCCTCTGAAACATTAGAAAAGGTCACATAGTTCTATGTGCCTACACATTGGCTGCAGTTTGGTGTGGAGGGTGAGAGGAGGGAAGACTGACCACTTCTCAAACTTGGAGCCTATCAGAATGTCCTAGAGGGCAAGTCAAAGCATTTCTGTGCAGCACCCACAGAATTGAAGGTCATCTCGTGGGGCTTGAGAATTGCATTTCTAACCAATTCGCAGTGAATGCTGGTGCTTCTGGGCAGGGACCACAACGTAGAGAACCACGAGTTTACAGAACAATCACAAAACAATAATGACAAAATGTAGGAGAGCATACTTATACTGCTTAAAATTTCACCAACTCCTCCCCAAGCCCAATCCCAGTCTCTCCCCACCTCGCTGCCTCTTCTCTTTCCCCTCCCATTCCTCCTTGCTTCCAAACTCCTCTCACATCCTCTCTTGGGAGCAGATTATCTTTCTTCTCTCATGCAGAGCAGCTCAGCAGGCTTTTAAATTTTTTGGTTTTTGGGCTCCACCAACAATGAGACTTTTGGGGGTTACACACTTTTCCAAGACCATTCCTTCCAGTAAACTGGTGCCAGTTTTTAAGATAAATACCCTTTTACCTTCTTATATTAATACTCACAGAGATCTCCAAGGGAATGTTTATGGAATGGGATAAAGACATCACTCCTCACATCAGTCACTGGGTAGTTTTCCCAGCCCAGAAGCTAAGGCATAAAATCCAAAAAGGGAATCTGTGTGATGGACCCCATGCACAAACAAATGCACTGTAGCCTGACAACCACCCGGTTCTCTGCTTGCATGTGCTAATACATAACCAGGGACTCACAGGGATATGGTCTGGTAATTGGGTAGTAGGTTAAAAGAGAGCCATTGCCTAAGTGGAAAAGATAAGAAAAGAGAAAATCAGAAGTTGACAAAAAAAGCAAGGTGAGCAAGATGCTGAAAACACAGCACATTTGATGTGGAAGTGAGGTCCCAAAGTGACTTAGGACACTGGGTTGAAAATTATACAGGCACATATAGTACTTAATGATAGAAGAATGTTCAGCTGGGTTCCTGGGGGGCCCTTCAGCTTGCTTTGCATTCATAGGCAATTTATCCTCCTTAATCACTAAATCATTAATGGGGATCAATAACAATACCACACTAGTGAGGGCAGGAATGGATGCAGGAAGAATTATTGGTCAGTTGTTTTTTTTTTTTTTTTTTTAAATAGTGCTAACCAGGCTTCAGATCCATTCCATGAGGGAACCTTACTCCAGGCTGTTGGAGAGAAAACTGTACCCACAAAGGCAGCAGGAATGAGTTGGGCCTTTATTGTGAATTCATCTTATTTTTATAACGGCTCAGGTGCTCTGGATTATGGAATGTATTTCCTTATTTAAATTCAAGATGTTCCAGATTGGTAGTCTAGCATTAGTGCCAGATAGCATGTTCTGAAAGATTTAGATGTCCCATACCAACATGATTGTTCTGTTTGGTTGGAAGCCAGTCATTTCCAGAGACTCTTTCTTCTCTTAGTCACTGCTGGTTTTCCCTTACCTCATTCAGCCTTGTCCCAGCACCTAGCACAGTGCCTCGTACATACCTAATGTTTAATAAAAGTTTACTGCATTGATATAATAATTCTAAGTAAATGCTTTTTTAGGTTCACTGCACCTACCATCAGATAAGTTGTAAATGTAATCTCACACCTTACCATCTTGAAAAAAGTCAAAAACGTATGTGGTGTGTGTGGGAGTGAATTTGTGGGCACAAGTGTATGTATCTCTCTTTCTCTCTCTCTTAGCATCTGACATCAAATTAGCATCTGGTATTTCTGACTTTTTATTCAATATGACTTTTATATTTTGCTTTAAACATAAAGTCAATTAAATTTGATGTAAAGAAATCAATAAGTTTCTAATATCTGGATACCTTTAATAAACATTAAATAAATATGACCAGCTTGTATTTTATCATGACATTCCTTTTTACACTATTTGCTTTGTAATTATACACAGTCTTTTAGGCCCTTCAGTACAGAATGGAATAATCGACCAGATCTGGTATTCCTAGAGTAACAATGAGCAACACCCTTTTATTCGGAGACCCTTGTGCTCAGGGTCTCCAGACTAGATCCATTCATCCATCAATCCACAAATACTGATGGTATGTCTTTCCCCATGATAACAGAAGTACTCATGGTAGTACAATATTATTTATTCATCCACAAATATTAAGGGTCAATGTTGAATTAGGCACTGGTAAAAGGCAGTGAAAAAGACAATCTTTGACGTCATACAGCTTCCACAAAGATTTCAGAAACTTATTACTAGTAAACATGAATTACAATTGTGAAAAATGCTAAAATAAGTCATGACACAACAAATCATATAAAGGGCACTTGGCCTAGTCAGAGGATGGGAAGAGATGGGTCAGTGGCTTATCTTTGTGCCCTCCCCAGCCCTTATGATAGTATCTGCATAAAAAAGCAATCAGATAGTTGGTTAATTTGGCTCTTTATGGAGTTTTATTAAAGCTTATGTGAAATTTTTAAGCTTTTATTTATTTAAAACTTCTATTTAATAAAATAGCATATCTTGCATGTGTTTGAAACATCAGAGGCTTATTCAACCTTTTTCCACCGAGTGAGTATTATTCTGTATGGCATTGCGATCAGAAGGGGATTTGCAGTATACATCCTTACAATGACATTCAGATGACCCCAGAATCAAGTCCAAAGCTGTTTATGAGATGCTTTTGGAAGGAGCAGAGTCAAGAAGGTCTAATCCAGAATCACAAGCATCTGCCAGTCTTTCTGTGTGTAGTTGTTTATACTCTTCAAAGAACATTCAAAACGGGTATCTCTCTGCCTCGTGTATTTCAGAAAACAGGATTCTTCTCTCATTCAGCCTGCCATGGTGCCAGGCACCAAGTTCATGATCAATGAATATGTGCTGAATTGAATTGATAACCAACACTCTGGGAGTAAGGGAGAGAATTATGAGCCTCACACTT